CGGTTGACCGTGTCGGCCAGCAGTGGGGAAAGGAGTGGGGAAAGTTGAGTGACCAGCAGCTGGGTGGGGAGGGGGTCGAGGCAGCAGGTGGTGAACTTCATGTGGGTGATTGTGGTTGAAAGGGAGGAGGGAGGAATCGGGGCAAAGGAGTGTAAAAAGGAAGAGTGGCAGAAGCTGTATCAGAGGGAGAAGGCGGTGTGGATGGTCTGGATGGGGTGGAAGGCGACATGGGGGGGAGACGATGCAGCCAAGCGAATGTTTTCAATCTTTGAGGTGAAGAAGTCTAGGACCTCTTTGCACTTGACGTTTCATGTGAGGATAGAGGGAGCTAGAGGGGGAACTGATGGACAGTAGAAAACAGCGTCTTTGGGTTGATTTTGGCCTCCAGGCTGACTTTGAAGTAGGTCCCTGTGAAAGGGAGTGGTAGTGGCATGGAGGTGCTCGAGCCACAGATGACTGTGAATCGTGAGGCCGGATTTCTGCCATCTGCGCTCGAGCGTCCGGGTTTGGGTTTTAAGTAAGTGGAGATGACTGTTGTACCAGGGGGAGTGGGTGGGTTTGGAAATAGCCCTGGATTTCAGGGGGAGCCAGGGAATGTTGTGGAGAGACGGTAATTCAGGGTGGATTTTTTGAGGAAACAAACAGAAACAGCCCTGAGGAGAATGACCAATTTATCTGTAGGATTGTAGGCCATGACAGTGGGAAAAACTCCCTATCATGGGATCTTAAACATTGATCCGAATAGACATAACAAGGCCTTAGTTTGATGTCTCATCCATCCAAATCAATGTTTTTCCAGTCAGACAGGTGTCTGGCACGTCACTGTGCTTAAGAGTATCCAAAGCAGATTGAGAATTCCACCCAACCCACCTACACATGGAAATTTGTGTGTATTGGAATGGAATGCTCTCTCCCTGGAAGCATGCATCCTGGATACCTAAAACCAGAGAGCATTAGGTGCACGCTAGACAAAAAACAAAGCTTAGGGATGCCAGAATTGGGATGCTGCTGGAGTCTAACCAGCTAAAACTGCATTGCTTGGCATTGAGAGCACTGTCTGGCAAACTTCCTGCTGCTTGTCCAGTTAGGACCACCCTACAACAACAACAACAACAAGATTGCATTTATAGAGCACCTTTCACGTTGGGAGGACATCCCAACCTGTTAGGCCTGTGGCTTGCAGGGTTAACAGAATAATAATAATAATCCTTGCATTTGATACAGCGCTTTTCACGTCTTCTAGATGTCCCAAAGCGCTTCACAGAATATACTGTAAAGTGAATTGACTGTATATTTGTGGGCGAACGCGACAGCCAATTGCGCACAGCAGTGTCCCACAAACAGTCATGGATTGAAAATGACCAATTTTATTATTGTTTTGTTTTTTGGAGGGATTATTATTAGGCGTGTGGAGTAAGGAAACTTGAAGCTGAGTGGGATGACTCCCTACCACTGGTCTGCCCTTCCAAATCCTACCAATGAGCCTGGCTGGCTGGGCTGCCATCAGCAGTGCCCAGGAGTACTGTAGACCTGGCTGGTTCAGGAACTGGACTACCGAGATCACTGTAGAGAATTGACTTAATTCCCACATTCTGTTGCCAAGCATGTCACTTTGGAGCCAGTTCAGCATCTGCATTGGACTAGTAGTCTGGACTGTCACTTGCTGAGCCACTCTGACACCTCACATGTAAGGATGTGATCCATTACATTTATTCCCCTGACAGAGGGACACGTCTCCCCTTCCCCACCTGTTTACACACACACCAGTGCTCACCATTACCCTGGCACGCCTTGGATGGAAACGTTCTTCCAGCAAAGTTTGATGGACATTTGCAACAGTGCAACCCATATAGTGCAGCATGGAAGATGCCAAAGGCAAAGTTTGTTTAGTCATGAATAAAGTATTGTCTTTGCACCATACAGTGTTTGCAAAAACTTTAATCCATTCTTTGATGTTTCACGTCCATCAAATTCCCCTTTACCTCAGTCTCTCAACAGGACCTTGCTTCAAAAACAATCCTGAGTGTTCTGACAGTAAGCTGAGCATATTTAAGACAACTCCAAGCTTTCGGACACCTTTTGGACAAAACAAAAGCTGACACATAATAGTTGGTTGAATGGAAGAGAACAAGGCCTTTTTTAAAAATAATTGCTCAACAAAATTGGCATTGTAGACGCTGAGCAACAGCAGCACATCCGAGCCAGCGTATTTAAACAGCTTCAGCATATCTTGATATCAACCACTTGTCCCATCATGGATAAAAGCCCTTACAAAGCATGCTGTCTAAGTGTCAAAAGCAGGCACTGATGCTGAATTTTATAACAGAACACAGCTGAGGGGATAACATACATCTTGTCATACTCCATCCGATTTGATTGGTATCAGCTTGCATGGAAGCATGTTGTTTTATTTGGATATTACAACACAGAAATAAAACCTGTATGATAATCGGCAGCTCTCAGATATATAAACTATCACCAGTCTGTGGCAACAACCCCAATAAAACCACTTGCAAGCCAAAAATCTCTGTATCAACAACAACAACAAGATTACATTTGTATAGCGCTTTTCACGTCGGGAGGCCGTCCCAAGGTGCTGTATTATGTTCATACCACATATAACCTCCTCAATGCAAACACTGAAAAGACAAATAATAATAATAATCCTTGCATTTGATATAGCGCTTTTCACGTCGGGAGGACGTCCCAAAGCGCTTCACAGAACACACTGTAAAGTGAATTGACTGTATATTTGTGGGCAAATGCGGCAGCCAATTGCACACAGCAATGTCCCACAAACAGTCGTAGATTGAAAATGACCAATTTATTATTGTTTTTGGTTTTGGAGGGATTATTATTAGGCGTGAGGAGTAAGGAAACTTGCCCAAGGTTTCGCCCTGCCTGGAATTGAACTCAGGTCTCTCGCTTGCAAAGCGAGTGCTCTAACCAACCACTCTGAGCTACAGGACTCCACAATGTATCAATTATGAGTGTATGCAGATGTGTTGGAATTGATCCTTCCCCCTTGTTTGTTTCGCGCCTTTCACGTCGGGAGGACATCCCGAGGCATGGGACAATCAATCTTTCAGACCTGAGCTGGGGGGTCGGATCGGGGAGGATGGAGGGTGGTGGGGACAAAGGATGACCGAAGGCATGGTCAAAGAGGAAGGTCTTGAAATGGGTCTTGAAGGAGGCAATGGAGGAGGCGAGGCAGAGGGATTGTGGGATGGAGTTCCAGAGGGTGGGTGCAGAGTGGCAAAAGGCCTGCCCGCCAATGGCGGGCGAGGCAGGGGACATGAAGCAGGCTGGAGCTCACTGAGCGGAGGGAGCGGGCAGGTTGGTATGGGTTTAGGAGGTCGCAGAGGCAGGAGAGAGTAAGGCCAAGGAAGGCTTTGAAGGTGAGGACCAGGATCTTGAACTGTATCCTCTGCGTGATGGGAAGCCAGTGGAGTCGGGTGAGGACGGGGGTGATAGGGTCACGGAGCCTGGTGTGGGAGAGACCACAGGCTGCAGAGTTCTGGATGATCTGCAGCCTATGGAGAGAGGAGTTGGAGAGGCCAACAAGCAAGGAGTTTGCATAGTCAAACCTGGATATTATGAATGTGTGTATGAGACTCTCGGCAGCCTGCAAGCCAAACGGGTGTAGGATTCTGCACAATGGTCAATATAGTATAATCTCCCAGCCAACTCCTGCCTCTTGTTTTCGAGCATTAAGCCTGGATTTGAAGCAGCCTATCCTTGACAAGCCTGACTCATTGTGCACTATGTCTCTGAGCTGCTCTCAGGAGTTATAGTACAAGATGTATCATGCAGTGACATGAATCATTTCTCGTTCATGGTCATGCCTGTTGATAAATTTACTTGAAGCTTTAATTCCACTTAGAACAAGAGGACACGGGTTTAGAGTTACAAACGGTAATTTCAAGACAGACATCATGAACTTTTTCATCCACAGAGACCAATCAATGACTCGCCAACTCACCATTCTTCATGTGTGAGCTCATGCAGTCAGTGTTGCAGGTTAGTTGACCTTGGGGTGGGGAGGAGGGGAGTAGAGGTGTTGGGCATTACGACCAAACCCCATACCAAAACATAATACAGCCTGGCTCAGCTGTAGCGCTCTTACCTCTGAGTAGAAAGATTTTAGGTTCAAGCCCCATGTCTCACACCAGGCTCATAGTCTAAGGTGACACTCCAATACAGTGAATACATTATGCTGCATCGACTTAGGTGCCGTTCTTTAGATGAGACATTAAACTGAGGTTTCTTTTGCCTTCTGTTCAGGTGGTCGTTAAAGAGATTGGAGTTTCTCCCAGTGTCCTGGCCAACAATTCCCCAGACAAAAATGGGTTATTCAATTCATGGCAGTTTGTGGAATATTGTTGTACAAAAATTGGCTGCTGAGTTCACCAACAAAATATATAGTCACTACACTATACATTAAAATCCTGTGAAGTGTTTTGAGATGTGTCAATGACATCAATGATGCTTTATCAAATGCAAGAATTATTATTATTATGGTGATGATTATGTACTCTTCCAGCAGGGGTCACTGAGCAGCAGTCACAAACAGGATTGTTTATGCCTTCCTTACCCAGATACAGTGAAGCCGATAGTACCATTTCAACAGCTTCCATGGCTGAGATCAGCTAACTCAATACAGACTAGAAACTGATCCCGTAAACATTGTGCCTGTGTGGCTCAGTATTGTATCACACCTTTTCATATTACTTAAACCATGATTGTGATCTTTGATGCATAGCATCAGTATTCCTAAAAATTGGAGCATCTGATGCATGTTAATGCATAATTGGCTTCTTCACAAAATAAATTGCCTCCTGCTGTTTATCAACACTTGAGGCAAACCATGCATATTTCTTTTATTATACAGTAATAGAATATTTTTTAAGTGTCACATAAAAAAGGTGTTTTGGAGAAATGTTTTTTTCTTTGGTAAATAACGAGAGCTTAAACATGAAGGTTAAATGTTCTCTTTAATTTGGGGCTGAAATGTCTCCAAATGTTCTACACAGGAACCTGGTCTGTGAAGGAATAATAAGAGAGAATTCTGACAAATATTTAAAGTTCACAATCACTATTCTCTCCGTAGCAAATGTTAATTCATTAACTGTTTATCTATCTACTGGATCGGGGATTGTAAACAGCATTCTTTAAACTTTTTCATTAGTTCTAAATTGTCACATCTTTGTAAATATATATTAAAAAAAAGTTTTCAAGAAAAATAATTAAAATAATTATGTGGAGCCCTGTAGCTTATTAATTAGAGCACTCGCCTCACAAATAAGAGGACCTGGGTTCGATTCTGGGCAAGTTTCCTTACTCCACACGCTTCTGTTTACTTACAGTAAATAGGAACCTGATTATTAGTCGATTGGCGTATCATTTCTCCCGGGGTAATAATCCCTTAAAAAATAATAATGATTTGGTCACTCAATCCACGACAGTTTGTGGGACACTGCTGTGCGCAATTGGCTGCCATGTTTCGCCCACAAAATACACAGTCAATTCACTTTCAGTATATTCTGTGAAGCGCTTTGACACGTCTTGAGGGCATGATAAGGCATTATATCAAATGCAAGAATTATTATTATTATTAATTACTTTTTATCCAGTCACACGCCACTGCTTGCAGGTTCCACTTCGAATAAGTGTATAAAAAATGGGAATAATCAGCGACATACGTTACAGGAGTGTCAGCACTCCCTGAGCACTTCTGAAACTCATTGCATGTAAAATTGGTTGTCATAGGTTCCTGAGCCTTACACTGTGCTGCACGGTGTCAAACTGCTCTATCTCTAGATCATTTTACTGCATTATTTGGGAATGGGATATATAAATGTTGAAGGGAATATGCTGTATGTTTATTGCAGTTCAATTTGGCTAAACTCAAAAGCTTTGTTTCTTGAAAGTGAGCTGGCTTTCCCACAAAACTAAAATGTCCGCATTTAATAATAAACATGGATACGTTTGTCGAAATGCAATTCTGTCATGTGCGTGCATAGCTGTACTGTTGAAATGTTCCACTTATGTTCACGCTAGGCTTTGAAGTTATCAGAACTGCATAAAGCTTTTGGCAAGTGCCCAGTCAGCAATACTTCTAGACCATGTAAATGTGTTGCAGATCTTCTCCAGCTTCCAGCATTCCAGCCAACAGGCAATATAATTCTTACATGCAATCTGTTTTTATGCCTTGTTCACAAGTCCATTGAAAGGAGGCTTTCGTCAAAAAACACAAAACAAGTTCGGAAGAGTCAGTAATATCTGAGCGAGAGGCAAATGAGTTCCCAGTTTGATCAACAAATGTTTGATAAGTGTTTCAGGTGCCTGTATCATGATTCTGAAGGTCAATAAGAAAATAAGAACAACAACAAATTATATTTGTAAAGTACATTTCACGTTTGAAGGACATCTCAAGGTGCTGGACAATCAAAGAGTTGCATCCGACCTCCAGGTTGGGATCAGGAGGGGTGGAGGACAGAGAGAGTAGGGGTAGGAGAGTGACTGAAAGCGTGGTCAAAGAGGAAGGTTTTGATATGGACCTTGAAGGGAGAGGGTAAGACAAAGGGACTGTGGGATAGAGTTCCAAAGGGTGGGACAAACCTAACTTTTTAAAAGTAATTGACAAGATTAAAGAACATTCTGAGCCTGAAAAGCCTTGTATCCTTTTCGCCCTGTAGTATTGAATAAAAATCTTAAGGAATTTTAAGGGGGAGTCCTCCCGACATGAAAGGCACTACATCATTTGTTGTTGTTGTTTTTCAAAAGATGTAATTTTCCTCACTAATACAGAGATCATGTTAGCTCTGGTGCTGCATTTCAGAGTATAATAAATAACAATCTTTGTTTAGCCACGTTGTATAAAGTTGGCCAATTTATGTAGTTCTGTGGCAAAAGACTTCATGACTGTGGGTCACAGAAACATTTTTTTTGTAATTCTACAACCATAAATACTTACAGCCTTATATTAAGAGATATTCTTCTACACATAGATATGGGGTATTTCTTAAGCAAAGTGTTTTACAATCAACTAAATCTTATAAGGCTCAATATAATCGATTTAATGGACAATGTCACCAATTCATTCAATCCAAAATATTAAAAATCTCAAATAAATATACGCAAAATCTATGATTATTATACTGTAATACATTTCAACATGAGAGCAGGTCTGTTTTATTCACAATCCAAGCTTGACACAACAACTGAGACATGTGGTTTACGAATATCAAAAGCCATTTAACATGTTTACCTAGCTGTAAGTAGAAACCCAGCTGTTAGTCGAATGGCGGATCACTTTCCGGGGTTAATAATCCCTAAAAAAAATTAGTCTATCAATCCATAAGTGTTTGCGCATTTGGCTGCTGCATTTCACCCACAAAATACACAGTCAATTCACTTTACAATATATTCTGTGTAGCACTTTGAGACGTCTCAATGGTATGATAAGGCACTATATCAAATGCAAGGATTATTATAACATACAAGAGGCATTGGGCACTATTAGTGATCACATTCTTCGAACACTTTGTTCAAACTGTTCAAAGAATGTGATGATCACTAACAGTGATTTCCTTTGTTGATATTGTATTCATTTGTGGAACAGAAACATTTTCCATCATAGAACTGGTAGCAGAATGAAACACTCTTCTATCAAGTACAATGTATATAAGATGGAAAAACTAAACTGATCATAATATACCATGATCAGTTTTACTTTACTTTATAAAATTTCCATTACTTACGTTTCCTGGTCTACTAGCTTTGGGATGCCCTCCCGACATGAAAGAGCTATACAAATGTAATTTTGTTGTTATTGTTTCAGAACAGAAACTTAAAATTTCACCTGGTTTTAGCCTGCAAGTCCATTTTGTCTTAAAATTTAAGACATTGTACAGAATTATGGAATAAATCTTCAAATTAGTCTTTATTTAGTTATTTGAAAAAAAATCCTTGCACTTGGGGTGGCACCTAATCATGTCGGAAGGATATCTCAAAGCGTTTCACAGGAATTACTGTGAAATGGAATGACTGTATTTATAGACAAATGTGACAGCACAATTGTACAAGGCAATGTCTCACAAACAGTGATGAAGTTAATGACAAATTTTACTTGGAGGATTGTTGACCAGGACACCAGGAGAAACTCCCTTCTCTTTTTGAATAGTTGCCATTGGGTCTTTAACGTCCACCTGAACAGGCAGATGGCACCTTAATTTATCGTCTCATCCAAAGGACAGAACCTCCACTATGCATCACCCCCCACCCCACCTCCCCCACCTCCCCCAGCACTGCAATGGAGTGTCAGCTGATATGATGGGAGTTCAAGTCCCGAACTCTTGTAGGCCGTCTAGGCGGAATTTTGAACCTCTAAAATGCAAGCAATGGAGTCTAATTTGGGGTGATTTCTAATGGGGATTGCTTTATTCCTAAGTGTAAGTCACTCTATTTTCAGAGTGGTGTTCCCTTGGGTCATCAAGTCACGAATCCCATCACCAGAAGGAGTTCCTCCACTTGGATTCCATTAGAAATTGTTGCACATTAGAGTCTATTTCTTGCTATTTTGACTCTGTTGACCATGGAGTTGTGAATCTACTTTCAAATCCAAGCTGACGAAAGATGGGCTATTTCAGGTTAAGATTTGCATAGTAATATTTTTAACAAACTACTATTGTAGAGTACATTGTTGGGGTGTTGTCATACCCATTATATTCAACTTTTTACTTGGGCTGGAGTCAAAGGTGGATTGCAAACATGACTGGACAATGTTCTGACAGATTGTGGCCTGAGGCTTTCTCTTTAATGATCACCAAAGGTCTGCTTTAGGGTGCTTTAGAAGGCTCATTGTTCACCAGGTAAACAGTAAATGTTTCTTGATCTCATTTTGTTGTCCCTAGAACATTAAAAGTCCAATAAAAGAAACACAAAACCAATTTGTCCTCGTTAAGCATAACCCATAAAGTTGTCAGATAGAACAGAGGATTGTTTAGTTGTTTGGCTGTTCCATATGTACAATCACTGTGGATCATATGTTATCTTAGATACTGTAGATGACTAATGTAAAACAAGTTTGCAAAACATGGTAACAGCTGGGCTATGTCTGAACTGCAAAACTATATCATAGAAATTACAGTAAAGGAGGAAAAAACTCACCACACCTTGTCTGTGCTGGTACTAAATCTCTTCTGGGGCTAACTGGTCAACTCCCATTTCTGTATTTTTTTCCTGTATCCTTTTATATTGTTCATCAAATATTTATGCAATTCTCTGTAAATGTTGTTATAGCTTAACCATCAACAGTCACTTGCAGCAAAGCATTCCATGTTAATAATAAATAAAGTAAGGTTTTCTAACCTCCCATTAACTCTGCCAGTGACGATCCTAACCTTATGCTTTATTGTTATCAATTCACTAAAGTTGTGGTTTAAAATTTGTATCCTGTTAAGTTATAAGATGACTGTTAATATCATCAATACTAGGTATTTTATAGACACAAAACTGAATTAAGTGAAATGTTGCCAGGTTTAATACCAGGGTCATGTGTCATACAAACACACTTCTAAATAAATTAGAGTTAATTTTGATAAATTATCACTAAAGTTGTATTGTTTGGAAAAATATTCAAGGTGCCTGGACGTTAAAGTTGTTACTCATGTCTGTATTGCGTTCCAATGATTCATGGTTTCATTGAAACCTAATGAATTGAACATGCTCAGTCAGCTCCGTATATCATGGTTATGTATGGATATATCAACTGGAACGTAAAGACACAACATAGTATGCAATGCAAAAGACGGCCCAGGCTATTCCTCCTACACACCATGTACAAGTTGATACATCAAAGTTTCTGCTACACCTATTTATCTCTTGAAGAAAAGTTCTGCAAAATTTCTCTCACCTCCCACCTCCCAAGTTAAATCAAGTACAATATCAGAACATCTTTCTAACCTTGCAACCTACATTACTCATCCTTGACTAGTTGTCTTCCTTGGGCAAAATATTTCCATGCTCTCAGCAGCATTGT